AGAGGCGTGGGACTCCTTATTCCAAGTGGAGACAATTTTTTTTTTCTCTTTTTATACGTTAAACAAATTAATAATTATAATTAAAATATATGGATATATTTATTTCTTAAATAATTTGGATTTAAAAATAATATTATTAAATATTTTCAATGATTTTTGTATATTTAATTTAATTTTATATTTCAAATTATAATTAATTGAATGATTAAAAAAAAAAAAAAATTCATGGTAGGAAAAATTATTTATTGGGTCAAGATATTGTAACTAAATTTTTAATGTTAGTGTATCAGTATACAAATTGTATGAATAAAAATCTGTTAACTGCTATTACTTATTTTATTATGAATGTAATAACAATAAAATTAAAAGTAAATAAGAAACAATCCCTAAGGTTCTCAAATTCTACGTATGCAAAAAGATGACATCAACGTATACGATGACTTTGGTGGAATAGACATGATAAGCAGCAAGGTTGGAGCATAAGAAGGTTCTTATTGTTATAGATGACGTGAACAATCAGAGACATTACGAAAATTAGCTGGCAAGCATGATGGTTTGGCCATGGGGCAGTTGGATCATAATAACTCAAGAAACAAACGATGTTGCTATCCCTGGAGTAAATGAAGTTTATGAGGTTGAGAAATTAAATGATGATGAAGCCCTCCAATTATTCATTTCAAAAGCCTTTAAGAACATCACCTTCAGAAAGTTTTAAGAAGCTATCCAAACGTGTTGTACAGTATGTAGTGGTCTTCCCTTAGCTCTTGAAGTTTTTGGGCTCCTTTTTGTGGAAGAGAAGTTCATAAATGGGAAGATGCATTGCAAAGACTAAAAAGAGAATGTGACGAAGATATACTGAAAGTACTTCAAATAAGCTTTGATGAACTAAAAGAATCAGAGAAAAAAATATTTCTTGTATAGCGTGTTTCTTAAAGGAGAGAATAGAGTTATGTGACAAGAATTCTAAAAGTTGTGATTTTTCTCCAATGTTGGAATAGATGTTCTAATCGAGAAATCGCTCATAATTATTTCACATAACAATACATTGTGGATGCACGATTTGTTACAACAAAAGTGTCAACAAATTGTCAAGAGAGGAGTGCCCGGAGAGCCTGGAAAACGCAGTAGATTGTGGATGGAAGCAGACATTCGTCGTGTATTGACAGAGAACACGGTAAGCAATTCAATTTTATAATATGTGCACCTTTTCAATCATCATTGCTTTAACTAGTTAAATATCTATATAAAATTGATATATTCTTTATTATTGAAAAAGAATAAGGAAAAAAATCAATTAAATATATATCTTAAAAATTCATGAAAGCTTTTAGTATCATTTAATGAGAACAAATTTCTAAATATGTAAAATAAAAATACTTATATTAGATTTTCTGAAAATGACGAGATATATTTAAATTAAAAAAATATAAAAAACTATATATTTTAACAATTTTAAAATAACAATGACGGAAACATATGTTTAACAAATTTCTAAGTATGTAAAATAAAAATACTTCTATTAGATTATATTAAATGTTATAGCAAACTTATAAATTGTTGTCTCTTGTTGTTTAAGTAGACTGCACTATATCTATATAGATAAATTCATGTGTTATTAATTCTTAACTTGCTTTCTCTCTCTCTTTGTTTTTGTTTTTTCTTTTATTTCAAGGGAACTGAAGTTGTTGAAGGCATAATACTCAATTTTTCTGAAGAAAAGATTCATTGTGTGCTAAAGCATTTTCGAAAATGATCAATCTAAGATTACTCAAGACCGCAATTTCAACTTCCAGAAGGCCTTGATTACCTTCACCACAACTTGAGTTTACTTGATTGGGAAGGGTATCCTTTAAATCCTTACCAACAAATTTGCGTTGGACAGAATTATTGAGCTGAAAATGGATCAGAGCCACATTGAACAATTGTCACAGGGAATAACTGTAAGATTAATTCAATTAACTATCCTATTTTAATTTTATGAGTAAAATAACTATATATGAAATATTTTGCTTTTTATGTTTAATAAATATGGAAAATTATGACATCCCACTCTTGTTAACTTTTTTTTTTTTTTTTTAATAGCCTTTTCAACAATTGGAATCCACAGTTTGAAAAGTGTAAGTGCCTCATCAAACACCAGATTTCACATTTGCCCCAAATCTCAAAAATGTGATTCTTAAAAGATGTAAAATGTGCGTGAGATTCACCCGTCTTTGTTGGTTCACAAAAAGATTACTTTGGATATGACATTTTGTGTAAGTCTTACAACTCTACCCAAACCAGATTCATATGGAATCTCTAAAAGAACTTTCTCTAGGTTTGTGCTTCAAATTGGAGAAGTTTCAGAGATTGTAGGAAGTATGGATTGTCTACGTACATTTGGTTAGATTCAACTGCTGTTAAAGTACTGCCAATGTCAATTGAACTTTTGAGTGGACTTGAAATTTATGTTTGGCAGGCTGCAAAATCTTGTGAGTCTTCCAGTCAAATAAATGGTTGAAATCTTCAAAAACTTGAACTTTCTGGATGACTCCAAACTTGATAACTTGCCAGAGACTTTGGGGCAAGTTGAAAAGCTATCGACACTTCATGTAGGCGGAACTGCGAGATAAGACGACCAATGGAGTCCATTTTTCTTATGAAGAATCTTGCAGAGTTTATGTTTGATGGATGCAAAAGACCGCCATCAAAATCATGGTCTTCACTCTTCCTCAAGACTTTTAGATTGCCACTTTGTCAGGTTTGTGACATCTTTAACAAGATTATATCTCGCTGACTGCAATATGGAGGAAAGGGATATCTTAATGACTTTTCGATAGCTTTCCTTCATTAGGGGAATTAGAACTAAGCAAAAACAATTTTGTTTCACTACCTGAAAGCATCAATCATCTTTCTAAGCTTGAACTTCTTCGCTTGAACGGTTGTAAGAGACTTCGATCTCTACCAGAACTTCCATCCAACTAATATCTATTAACGTAGATGATTGTGTTGCACTGGAAACAACATCAAATGCATTAAGTTTATGTAATTCCACGTTGTTAGAATTTTCATGTCTAAACTGCTTGAAATGATCTGCTGCAACAATCAGGCATCTTCAATGCCCAGAGAATTCTTAAGGTCAGTGTCTTTCTCTTTCTCTCTCTTCATCTTTTGAGTTAAACATTATTGTACAACTTTTTCTTTTTCTGAGTGCAGGCAATGTCAAAGCCAACAAACAGAGATAGGATTCCTCCTCTGTCGATTAATCAATTTGGGATGGTTATTCCTGGAGGTCAAATTCCAGAGTGGTTCCAACATCAGAGTGAGACTTCTTCAATTAAAATAGAAAGGCCTCTAGATTCTTGTGATAACAAGATGGTGGGATATGCTGTCTGCTGTGTTTTTATGTCCATGAGCATCAGCCTATCCTTTGTTTACGGATTAATTGCAGAGTGATCAATATCGATTTAGTTAAAGAACGTGTGATTATTTTGAAAAGACTTGCGGCAAGGCTATGTCAGACCATCTTGGTGTTCTATTTTTCGGCTGAAGAACTCAATCAGATTTTATGAGCTTTCATTTGCACAAGATTATCCAGGATCAGAGGTGAAGAAGTGTGGGATACATCCAGTATATGAGAAAGAATTAAAGAGTTGAAGCCAAGGGCCAAGAAATCCAGTAGCTCTAGTTTTTGGAATTCATATGAGTTGGATGAGATTTCTTGGATCAACGGCGGATGTTGACTGATGGGGTAGAAGACGAAGATGAGAGTTATTTTCAGCTGATGACGAACTACCAAAACTAAAAGATTGAGGAGCTCATAAGTGACGTGTGGTAATAATTTTTTGTTATGGGCTGTTGTGAACTTTCTGTTTTTGCATGGGCTTTGCTATAACATAACCTATAATATATGGATTATTTGCCATGGGAGGGCGTGGGACTCCTTATTCCAAGTGGAGCGACATTTTTTTTTTTCTCTTTTTATACTGTTAACAAATTAATAATTAATAATTAAAAATATGGATATTATTTATATTTTCTTAAATAATTTCTGGATTTAAAAATAATATTATTAAATATTTTCAATTGATTTTTGTATATTAATTTAATTTTATATTTCAAATTATAATTTATATTGAATGATTAAAAAAAAAAAAAATTCTGGTAGGAAAATAATTATTTATGGGTCAAGATATTGTAACTTAATTTTTGAAATGTTAGTGTACGGATACAAATTAGTATGAATAAAAATCTTGTTAACTGCTATTTACTTATTTTTATTTATGAACATAATAACAATAAAATTAAAAGTAAATAAGAAACAATCCCTAAGGTTCTCATTGTGAAATTCTTTTAAGAAAAAAAAAAAAAAAAGGAGGCTATTTTAGAATTTTTCACCTAAAGCTGGCACTGGTGTAAAATCATTATATTACAGCTTTAAACCAAATCTCTCTTCATGGATCTATTATTTTAAAAGTTATTACAATTTAAAAACATTTTGTAATAGAAAATTATAAACTTATTCAATGATAGGTATGACCTATCAAAATAGCTAATTACAAGCCTACGTTTAAGGCCCAATAAAAAGGCAACACTACCAGGCCCAATACAAGATTGATATTTTAAGTTTTGATTTATTTGCTTATTTTAAAAATAAAAAAGATAAAGATAAAAATTAGAGTGAAACACCTTACTAATGAATACGACCAAAACATATAAGATATATGCATACATTTATCACAGTCTAGACCAAATTAAGTAGATATTAGGTGTGACATTTCATAACACTTCGATAGAAGAGTAAAATGTTAGTTAAATACTATTATGAGTCTTTAAACTTTCAAAAACGTGTTTAGGGTTGAATCCCAAAAGCAAAATCTAAAGGACAAAAATCTAAAGCGCATAATATCTAGCAACTCTCATGAATTTCCAAATAATGGGTGAGTAAGAAACAAATTAAAACATACAAACTATAGATTAATTAGACTACCATAAGAAACAAACTACAAACTATAGCTTAGCTAATAAATAGATTCTAACAACTGTAATATTAATAACAAAAAACCAATGTTCTGAAAGTCGGATTAGACCAATCGATCGGACCGGGAATTGGCAGCCTCTCTGGTTGGATTTAGGTTTCAGGGGATTCTTGTTATATTTTAAAACTACAGAGATTAATGTAACTAAGGCTGTTTTTACAATATTTCAAAACTTTGGGGACTAATTGAATTTTTTAGGCAGTTTAAAAAATATATTAAATTTTTAGGGGTATTTTCTCTTTTTATACTATTAAACAAATTAATGATTAATAATTAAAATTTATGGATATTATTTTATATTTTCTTAAATAATTTCTGGATTTAAAAATAATATTATTAAATATTTTCAATTGATTTTTGTATATTTAATTTAATTTTATATTTAAAATTATAATATTGTATCGAATGATAATAAATATTTTTGCACATAGTATGAAACTAATTATTTATTAGATTAGGATATTGTGACTTGAATTTTTTACTTAATTTTTAGATACATCTTATAAACTGTCTATCATTATTGATCTATTTTGTCATCGTTAGATTAAAAATGATGAATGATTCACAAAGAGTGTCAAAAAATTAAATTAAAATTTTAAGTCACGGTATTCTAACCTTTACTGTTTATTTAAGGTATAAAATCATAATTATAATTAATTTTTTTAATGAATATATCTCCCATTCAAGTTTATTAAAATTAATTACAAAATAAATATCATAATTATTGATATAAATAATGCAAATATTAAAAAAAATAAGATGAAGAAAATGCTGCAGAGTATTGTTCATCATATTGTGTACACCTTCAGGCTGGCTAAGATTGTATTGTGAGATCATTCCGCACGCCGTAATTCGACCATGCAATCTCATATTTAGAAGCACCGCATCTAGCATTTTTCCTCCTACGTTTTCGAAGTAAATGTCAACGCCCTCAGGAAAGCACCTGGAAAAAAAAAAAAATGAAACTTTCTGAGTTTCCATATTTCTTGATAAACTGAAAGAGTATATGAAATGAAACTTACCTTTTCAAAGCTGCATCCAAGTCTTGCTCCTCTTTGTAGTTGAAAGCATCATCGAATCCGAAATTGTTCTTCAAAATTTCAACCTTAAGTATTGTACAAGTGATTGTCACAAGAATTAGTTAAGCCGAATTATTGCAAAGTAATTGAATGTTTAACTACAACAAACCAGATAACTCTGGCTGACTTTGGACAAGTAGATTAAAGGAGTAATTTCCTGGAACGATTGGCTAACCTTTTCTTTGCTTCCAGCACTTCCAACTACGTAGCAGCCCATTAACTTGGCAAATTGCCCAACCAGTTGACCAACAGCGCCTGATACTGCTGAAATGTATACATTTTCTCCTTTCTTAGGAGCAGCTAATTCATAGAAACCAGCCCAAGCAGTAATACCAGGCATGCCTATACACAAAACAAAACAAAAATATAAACAATACATTAAATATTACTGTATTAGTACTGCTTGATTGGCATCCGAAAGTGCAAAAAAGGTATTTAAAATAGAGAACAACCCAAAGATTTTGTCAACAAAACATTTTAAACAAAAAGTCATTCTTTATTACGGCGTCATGAGTAAATTCATTCGTGCCCATTGCCTAGTAAAAGACAAAATTCTGTACTAGTTTAAAGAATTTAACTAATTTTTTTTCTTTTAAAAGTGAATAAACTTTGTGTTGACATTAAAAAGTTGAATTCAAGACGTACACAGCTAAGAATATTCATAAAAGCGAATACCAAATTATATATGGAAGGCATGCATGCAAATACAAGAAAAACTCACCAAGAATTCCAATATAATAGGACAAGGGAACATCAGTGTGATGGATTTTGAAGAGGCTTTGAGTGTTCTTAATGAGACTGTATTCTTCCCATCCAACAGCACCCCAAACCAAGTCCCCTTTCTTAAATTCTGGATGCCCTGAAGCCACAACTTTGGCCACTCCAAACCCTTCCAATGGCTACATTTTACACCATGCATATGCATCAACAGAAACAAGAAAGCTAGCATAAGAAACAAAACAAAAAAAAAAAAAATTCTTTATCAACAGAAACAAGATAGCTAACATAATATCAGCGCTAAAGGTATTCAAGGAATGCTTACCGATTCAACTGTGTAAGTTAAACCAGGAATTCCCAAATTCTTCCTGCGGTTCCCCATCATAGGATCACAAGACAAGTAAAGATTTTTGATAACAACAGCATTTGAACCTGGTTCTACTTTCAATGATATGGAACTTGTTTTCACCACCATGTCTGATTCTTTCGGAGCTCCATTGGCAAAGTGCTTCAATATCACTTGCTTGTTGCTTATCACTTCACTACCACTTGCCATTACTGCTTGTTTTGCTTTGCTTTAATTTTCCACAAGTCAAATACTTTTTTATTTCTTGAGTCTTTGTGGTATTATAGCGTGATAATCAGTTGTATTTATAGCCGCTGTTCATCTTGTTTTTGTTTTGTGTTCTGTTTAATTTTAAGTGATATGAATCAACAATGACGATTCTAGTGCAGAAAAGTAGAAGAAAGGTCAAAGTTTTGGTTTACTTTTCCTCATCTGACCAATACCATTCTCCCTTGTGGAAAATTATAAGCGAATAAATTTGAATCAAACCTATCTCTTTATTGCTGTACTAATTAGTCTATTGAAGAACAGTAGAATTACAAAAACTGAGGATTCTATTGAAGAACGTTTACTTTTCCTCGTGCGATGAAGACCATCGTCCCTCGTGGAAAAGCATAGGGGGTGAATAGTTTGAATGAATATATACATGAAGGTTTTTGGATATCTTATATTTAAAAAAAAAAAAAAACAAATTAATCTCTTACCTCAAAAATCTGTAAGGTTTTACCTTTTGATTAGTACATCTGCATGAGAATTATTAAAGAAGTATTTATATATCTGCATGAGAAAATAACTATATAACATTATTTAATTAATTTATGATACAACTATTAAGAAGTCTTCTGGAAACTTAAAAATGGTTATTATATGAAGAGTTTCAATAATTTGGTCAATAATACCGAGAATTACTTGTATGGGATAGTCTTATTATATCCACTTAATTATCGTGGTGAAAATGATTAATAATATAGTGACAAGTGCTATCATATATTTGATAAATTTTCTTTTTCATTTATCTATCATCATGACTCATAAAGATGTCAGTTTATACAGAAGAGTTTGTACATATAATATTATTTTATCAAACCAATAACCTCTATCATATATAAGCAATAGATTTAAAATTAATAATACGCATATTTATTTTATTAGATGATCTTACCACATCAGCTAAGTGAGGCTATTTTAGAATTTTTCACATAAAACTCGACACTTGTGGAAAATCATTATATTACAACTCTAAACCAAATCTCTCTTCATCGATTTATTATTTTAAAAGTTACTGCAATTTAAAAACATTTTGTAAAATTAGAAACTTATCCAATGATGGGTCCAGCCTATCAGCAGAGCTGATTACAAGTCCACGTTTAAGGCCCAATGAAAGGGCACCACTATCAGGGCAGCCCATTTTTCTAATATTACATTTGCAAGATTGATACTTCAAGTTTTGATTTATTTGCTTATTTTAAAAAGAAAAAAGATAAAGATAAAAATTAGGGTAAAACACCTTACTAATAAATACGACCAAAACAAATGAGCTATATGCACTCATTTATAACAGTCTACACCAAATTAAGTAAATATTTGGTGTGATATTTCATAAAACTTCGATAGAAGTGTAAAAAATTAGTTAAATACTATTATGAGTCTTTAAACTGTCAATAATGTGTTTAGGGTTGAATCCCAAAAGCAAAATCCTAAGGACAAAAATCTAAAGCGGATAATATCTTAACAACTCTCATGAATTTCCAAATACTATAAGTGAATGAGTAAGAAACAAATTAAAACTTACAAACTATAGACTATAGATTATACTACCAATGTATAAGTAAGAAAGAAACTACAAACTATAGCTTAGCTAGTAAATAGATTCTAAGAACAACAATAATAACAACAGTAATGCTACATCAGCTAATTCCCTCACTAACCCTCTTATACCGATTGACATGGCAGCTGATGTGGATGATGTCACATCATCAATCAAATCACCACCTTACCATGTCAGTTCCCTCAAAAACCAAAATAGAAAATTTCTTCCATTGCACGCCAAAACCATTGTTCTCCATGCCTCACCCAAACAACCGGAACCTATTTTCCTCACCGAACACCACCACGCCTGGTTTCCAAAACTTAGCAGACGCCACCACGTCTCGCCAGAACCGTAAAGGGATGTTGTGAGGTTGTGCTACATTTATGCTCTTTGCTCATATGTTGCGAAAACCTTTGGCAAAAAATCAATTTTTGGATTAGATTTCTATAGTATATTAAATATGTGTTTATCTCAGGTTAGGTTTGTTGATATATGTATCCAAAGTTATAGTGTCATAGTGATTCATGTCTTTGACTAGAGTGGTTGAAGTTGCACTTGCAGTTAAACTGATTGTGTAAGTATTTGTTTAAAAGATGTACTTGACAAATGTTCTCAGAAAACATGATTTTAGTGTGTCTGTAGATTATTTCAGTCCTATGTTTTTATCATTGTGTCATAGCGTTTCTTTTTTATGTAAATGGTTGAGAATGCCCGAGGTCATTAAAACCTGCTTTTTGATCCACAGCCAAAGCAGATTCATGAGATAAAATGGGTGTTCCTTCTTACTGCAAGAAGGAAGGATGCTCGTTCTATTAAAATCTAGAGGAGCAGGGGTGTGGTTAAGTTTAAGGTTCGCTGCTCCAAGTACCTTTACACAGTCTGTGTGTTTGATGTAACTACAGCCTGACAAGTTGAAGCAGTCTCTTCCTCCAGGTATAAGCTAATTTACCATGAAAGGTGGTTAAACAAAAAAGAGCCATCAAGACTTAAAAAAATGTCCTCTCTCTCTTTTCTCATAAAGCCCTCATGCTCCATCTTTCATTTTTCAATTACATATTTGCTGTCATTTTATAGCATGTGAGATTATGAGATAAACCAGTTTTCATGTAAAAGATAATGAACCGCAAGTTAAGTTAAAAACTTTTCATAAAGGTTAGTTTGATTCCTTAATGAATAATAAGATAATTAACTCAAGAATAGACTGTAATTAATTAATATAACACAAAGTACTTATTGACATAATTAAGTTTATTTTTTAAGTCAAATTGATAGGTCAAGCAAGTCTAATGTATAATTATGCTTTGGTTCTTTTCAGCATATTGCGGCACATATGATTTTTTCCAAGGTGGTGGTGCACAATTTGTTTCTAAATTAATTTGCCCCTGGATCTACGTTTTCCATAATACATTATATTGTGTTTGTTTAACTTATTTTGCAGCTGTTGTTGTTATCATAACAGTATTCTGGAAGTTATTTCTGAAATTTTACTTTTGTTTGTTTGTAAGTGATAATGGTTCATTATCTGGTCATTGTGGATATTAACCATTCCTATTTGACTGGTCCCCTTGCAGCAATAGTAATCGTGTTGCATCATAGTACCAAACATGGAATAGTTCAATCTTAAAGAATCAGATAACTCTTCTTCCCAATTTGTGGAGGTAAATATTTGTTTAAAATCTCTTTTTATGCAATAATATGATTTAAAATTTTGTTATGGTATTGTTTCTACACTTTTTTGTTGCATTATTATATTCTAATTCTAGCTATTATAAATTAGGATAATCATTTCGAAGTAGAAAGTAGAAAAAGTGCTGAAGAGGAAGGGGAACCTAAGCCTGGAATGTTTTTTGATTCATTTGATATTTTTCTACAACACTATAAAAGCTATGCAAATAAAATGGGTTTTGAAGTTTTTATAAGATCTTCAAAGAAAGGAGATGATGGAGAGATGAAAAACGCGACACCAGCTTGTTCTTGTTGTGGAAAGTCAAGCAGTATGTCCAGAAATGCCTTTAAAATGCATGCAATGACAAAAACCGATTGTAAGGCTTGGGTTAATGCATCCGTACGTTCTGATGGGTAATGGCAAATATGTTCAATTGTATTTGATCATAACCATGAACTGAGTAGCCTTGGCAAAACTAGATTTTTCAAGAGCAATCGAATACTACAACCATGCATGAAAAGGAAGCTTGAAGTGAATGATAGGGTTGAGAATAGGCCTAATAAAAATTTCAATTCCTTGTTAATAGAGGCTGGCGGTGGTGAGAATTTGTCTTTCCTACAAAAAGATTGTAGGAACAATATTGAAAAAGTTAGAAGGCTGCGTTGAAAAATTAGAATAGAAAAGTCTTATAGCTATAAAATTTTTCTCTCTTCTAATTGATTCCATCTATTATAGGAAATATAGTCTACAATGAACTTCAAATCCGACTTCGCTGCCTTGTGGCGCACCTCTAATAATAGTCGCTAATAAACAACATAAAAACTGATCTTATAAATGAAGAAGTTTTAACTCAAAAGGGATATGAGCCTAATGTTGTTTGCTACAATGCTTTAATAAGATGGTATTGCAAGAATAAAGAAGTCAACGAAGTTCTTAGTCTTTATGAAGAGAAAATTTTAGAAAGAATTAGGCCTAATGTGATTATAAATAACAATTTGTTAACTTGCCTTTTTCTTAAAACTAATGTAAAAGATGCACAAAAGTTAGTTGGTGAGATGCAACTTAATGGTTTACCGTATTCTTGGACACATAACATTTTCATTGATGGACTTTGCAAGAATGGATGTGTTTTGGAAGAAGTGGAAATGTTTCATACTTTAGTAAATAATAAGTTTGCAGTTGACCTTGAAAGCTTGAATTCCCTCTTTGATGGATTATGTAAAACATGGATATCCGAAACTGCTCTGTAGCTATTTTAGAAATTTCTCTCATTGAAAGCCTGGTGCCAAACATTGTTGTCAGAAATTTTGTAACTGTTTTTAGAATTTAGTTTTGATGGATACCATTGTTTTCAAATTTTACAAGCAATTGGGGTCATAATAGAGATTACAATGTTATAAGAAGCACATTCATAACAGAAGCTCTTTATTGAGATAGTCTTTATTGAGATAGGTGTATGTGCGACTATCTAATCACTTGATATGTGCTGATCATATATGTTAATGTATAGTGCATATTGTGGATAAGCTAATGTAGAACATTACAATAGTATCATAAAGTGTTAAGGACATCAAGTCAACTCCTTTGAGCTTCACTATAATTACAAAAATTCACTTAAGATTTTTGAAATAATAAAATTTCCCTTATTATTAATAAACTATTAGTCCGCTAGAACATATATCTATAAAATTAATAAATATTTATTAAATTGTCCTGATTCTATTATTTTAACCCTTATAATTTAACAGTAATGATTTTTATTATTTATAAATTTGATTATTTTTATTATATTAAACCTCAACACTATCAATATAACTCTATTGTATAATACAAAACTAGTAATTATAATAAACTATACATACTATTATTTTAGTAATATAGATATTTCAGCAATATAATTAGTGTGATAATCTTATTAATATCCCTTGAATTTTTAAAATATCACATTAATATCGATTTTGTTATATTTAAAAGTTTGAAGAACAAATAGAAAAAAAAAATTATATATCATTGTAAATTAAAGACGAAGTTCAATAGCATGATTTATTTAAATCTTATAATTTTATTAAAAAAAGGTAAAAAAAATTACAATTGAATACTTATATAAATTGGTTTGTTTGGGTTGCATTTTTGGATTTACATTTTTAACCTTCAATTTTCGAAATCATAAAGGTGGTTTGAATAGGAAAGAGTGATACTTGACATAAGTTGGCAATTTTGAAAACCTTAAGGTTGTTTGTGAAATTTGTCAAAACATTTCTCTTTAATGCATTTGCCTTTTGCAATGTCCTTACTTCGGAAAAAAATGACCCACAAAAACACTCTTCATACATGGCTTTGAGATTCAGATCCCTATTTCGTTCGTCTTCAATCTCTCAAAACCCATCTTTGAAAGTTAATGTTTTATTTTTGTTAGGTCACTTACGCAACCTCACATCTTCAAGCTCCAAAAATGAAGTTTCGTATTCTTTCAAAAAACCCCTTGAACGATCCTCACTTGCTAAATTCCTCGAAGAAAATTGTCAATCAGGTAGCTTTACTCTGAATGAAGCATTGTACTTTTTTTATTACATAATTAATTCGAAACCCCTTTCTCTAATTTCATCATTCACTACTTTGTTTAGTGCACTAGCTAAGAAGAAGCATTATTATAAAGCGATTTCGCTATATAAGCTGTTGAATTCAACTGGGTTGTCTCCAGATTTAATATCTTTGAATATTTTGATGAATTGCTTCTGTAATATTGAAAGGGTTTATGATGGTTATGCGGTATTTGGGGCGATTTTGAAGTTGAGTTTTAGCCCAAATACCGTAACATTTACTTGTTTGATTAAAGGTCTGTGTGTAGAGAGAAAGATTATGGAATCAATAGAATTGTTTAAGCGAATGGTTGCTGTTGGTTGTAGGGCTAATGTGAGCACTTGCAACACTTTGATTGGTGGATTGTGTAAAACAGGGAACATAAGTGTTGCCATTAAGTTGCTTGAAGAAATGGTTAATGGGAATAAAGAATCTGGTGTTATTTGTAAGCCAGATGTTGTTACTTATAATAATATAATTGATGGTCTTTGTAAGGTTGGATTGGTTGAGAAGGCTAGACAACTATTGTTGGAACATATGATTCAGAGAGGTGTGGTTCCTGACATGTATACTTACAGCATTTTAATAAACGGTTATTGCTTGGCAGATATAATTAGTGATGCAAGGGAGTTGTTTGATTCTATAACTAGAAAGGGGTATAGGCCTAATGTTGTTTGCTACAATACTTTAATCAATTGGTATTGCAAGAATAAAGAAGTCAATGAAGCTCTTAGTCTTTATCGAGAGATGATTTCAGAAGGAATTAGGCCTAATGTGATTACATATAGCACCTTGTTAACTGGCTTTTTTCTTGTAGCTAAGGTGAAAGATGCACGAAATTTAGTTGGTGAGATGCGGCGTAACGATGTTTTTCCTGATTCTTTGACATGTAGCATTTTCATTAATGGACTTTGCAAGAACGGATGTGTTTTGGAAGCATTGGAAATGTTTAATGCTCTAGTAAATAATAAGTTTGCAGTTAGCATTAAAGGTTTAAGTTCCCTCATTGATGGATTATGTAAAACAGGGAGATTCGAAACTGCTTGGGACCTATTTCAGAAGTTTTGTCTTCATGGAAACCTGGTGCCAGATGTTGTAACATATAGCATTTTGATCAATGGGCTGTGTAAAAATGGACAACTAGAAATGGCAAATGAGTTGTTGTCATATATGGAGGAAAATGGTTGTGCTCCAAATGTAGGTTGTACCCCTTTCAGAGGAAAAAATAGACAGAAGACATTTGCCAACATTTTGCACAAAGACCTACTTTCCCAAGTAGCATTCCGGTAAAATCTCTGCCTTTTAAGTCGGTTAAAATAATTCTCTGTTATTCTGGTGAGTCATGGATATTCTATACATGCTCAGGATCTTAAGGTTTGGTCAAATATGGATAATCTCTTGAACTTAAATTGATGAATAGTTAACAATGGAGAACATTTAACAAGTGAGTATTAACCAAAAACTTCTTTTGGAAAGGTAGCGGATACCTTCCTGAGACATCATGGCTACAAAGTATTGGGTCTAATTTTCACTGCCTTTGATGGAAATGTGTACCAGCTATAATTTTACTGGTCGAGATGTCAACTGAATTTAGAAGTGATTGATGATGATGAACTGGCTTCTCTTCATTGAACTTGCAAAATTAGTATTCCATTTGGGCAGAACATTTTGGTTTCATGAGATGCCAGGCAACTGATGTTAATTTGCTTGATGTTTCATTCCAGGTCAGTCTTGTAGGTAGGCAGCTGCTTAATTTGTTATTAACGAGATCCCACAGATCGTTTAGGATCAAATAGTGGTGCAATGAAATTAAAACACATCCTTCTTTCCGCGAATCAATTGGCCTCTGATTCGCACCATGGTAGGAGAGGACTACTTGCATTTTACCATATTGAATTCTCAACAGCAAATGATTTAATATCGAATGTTTCTCTATGCCTATGCAAGCCCGCCTCCACTAATGCACCTCCTAGTTAATTGAAAAGATCTGAGCCAAAGATGTAAAGGGAAGATGATGGTGCTTGTTAATCCTGTAGATTTGGACCTTTTCTAAAGGTTTGATTAACAACCATTTTAATGTTAAACATAGACTTCAGATTGACTCTGCTCTGCACTCCCTTTATTGCTGATTCATGTTTTCTCTTATCATATGACCAAAAAGGGGATACAGGCAATGAAGATGAGATGGAGGAGGTTCCGTCATCGTGTCATGTCATCCTAAACCTAAAGTAAAGCATGTAGGTTGTTTTTATTTGATTTCGGAGATTAAGACTTTGCCCTATATTTAACCATGTAATATAACTCAACACTTCCCATCTCTCCCATTCTTTGAGACTCGCTATGGTAGTTGTAGATATCCAGCTTTTGTTCATTTTGTATTCTGCTATGGCGTAGTTGTAGATATCAACTTCTGCCTAACCAGTGAACAAAGTGTTATAAATAAAGCTCAATTCGCTATTCTCCTGTCAGCTCACAGATGCACAATCTAATCTTGAACCATGCATAACAGGTCAAGCATTTCAGTTCCTATAAAAAATAAATTTTCCATTCCTCAAATTGTGAGAATGTGATAACTTACAAATTCTCACCCTACACTACCCTACATTGCCATTAACTACAACACCATTGCTGTCAAATCTGCTCTTAATCAAAGTGGTATCTTTGGTAATTTAAGTATATAAGAGACAATCATTCAAAAAGAACATGTAATATAATCCAGAATATAGCAAAATCACAACTCACTAACAAAACATACCATTGCTTTGCAATTACAGCAAGAAATGCGGATATGTTGCAGTCGTATAGTTGTCTTTACACGAAAAGGCTTGGATCACTGTATAGACGCATTAGCCAAATTTATCACACTGTTACACGCAAATCTGATGAGCAACCAAGTAATACAATTCTTGCGAGATCCTTATGTTACCCTACTTGGTGGCCTGTGCGATTATATTACTTATTGAACCACCTGTTCTTTTGCAGTCTCCACCAATGAGTCCTACAACATAAAAAAAAATTATACTGAAAAATTAAAATTATGAAAAACTGACAACAAACCCACTGTGACCAAGAAAAAGAAATTATACCTGAGCAGCTATTAGACGTGCAACTGTTTCTTGTTAGACTCTGAAGTTCACCCTGCAATATAAACGGATTCTACATTAGATAAGCAGAGGGCATTAATAATAAGGTATTTTGGGCAGTCACTTATTGCATCAATCACCATTTTGATATTAAAAACCCTTTCAGAAAGGAAAATCCCAATTGCAAAACAAGTCCGTTGCACCATACCTTGTGAAAGTTGAAGATCAGTCCGCCATAGACCGGAAGCAAAATTATAACCACAAACGTCAGTTTCTATACCAATCAAATGGAAATATACACTTTAATGCACTTAGTGATCTTATACAAAGTAAAGTCAGCTTCACTCCACTTCCAAAGTATCTGTCAAGATCTCAACATAATATGAATATTTCAAGGACCTTTAATTCATTGTCATCCTGATCAATGCACATGCAGAAGTATACTAGCATATCTGTAAAACATATTCATTGGAACCAACTCAGTTGATCATCTCTATGATGGCAAAACATATTCTTGATTCACATACTGTCATATATGCTATACCTTTTATCAACTTTGTATCCTCTCCATTCCACAAAATTACAGAGCTTGGGTCCTTGTGAAGAATGACTCCACTGAGCTCACGAATAACCTTCTCAGACAAAGCAGCAGTTCAAACAAATCATCAATGTAACCACAGCTGTTCATAAGTTGAGGAAATGATACCACGCGATCATTTATCCAACACAAGCAGGTCCTTTGAAAATAAATATAATTAAGATCTAAGAGAGAATATCTGAGCGGCATGGATTTAAAACCATATCTTAGTTCGTTCCTTTTGTGAATAGGAGAATACCATTTAGTCAACCAGACTTTTCCTTGTTGCTAATAAGAAGCACAAATTGAATCTGAAACATAATAAAGAAAAATTGTAACATCAGCAAAGTAAAACCATTAATCTTCATTTGGCATTGGCAACATATGAACAAGATTTAATAAATCATAGTTGTCGGACAAGCACAACCTAAATGATTGTGGCATATCCAATCAATAACTTGTAAATGAATACACATCATTTCAATCTTATTTTGAAAGCTATTATTGGCAATGGTTCAAGCCGTCAACCAACTAACAGCCTTAATCTCAACATCCAAGGTTGCTCTTCGACACATGTCAACTTATAAACACACTATCAATTCTTAGCAATCAAAACATGTTCCTTTAATCCATGATTTATTTCCCTCAACATCCATTGCCATTTCCAGAAATTTGATACGGTTTCTGTTTGTAGTCAACTTAAGCCAAGCTGTGAAAAATGACATAAAACATGGGTATTCCAAGATAAGCCAAATGCTTAGTATTGGTAAGCTAGTTCGAGCTTAAATTTCACCATTCTGACATACAAGACTCCATGCTAACTAGTTTTCTATCAAATGCTTCCATATCCCTCTAATGCAATTATTCAAAATTTCGTCTTCCTAACTTTCTATTTAAACAAGGTAGTTCAAGAATGAATACCCACATGGGCAGGTCTCAGAACTTCGCAATAAATTGTTAAACTAATATAACTTTGTCGGCTGAAGACCAATTGAAATTCATAAAACTATTATTCTACACCATACGCTTCAATGATCTTTAATTCAAGATCTTAGCTAGGTTGATACATATATTTAATGTCTTGACAATAAATATCACTAAATTAGCAAACTTGCACGTTCAGAGAGCAACGATCCTCTATTAAGCTAATGAAATCAACAAACAACGACAATACAAATTTCACATACCATGTTTTCCACGATATTGACAATACAAATTATTTACCACATTCAAATATGCTTGTTTCTGAGATCCTTACTAATGTTTACAATATGCTGACTTACATCCTGCAAAAGTTCATATGTTCTTGCTTTTACAAATGATTTTTGATAACTTACAAGTATTTTCATTATATAAGTCTTTCAACATTAATTAAATCTCTCATAACCATTTCTTCACTATTTATTTATCACAATGATTGATATATTACTGAAGGCCAAAACCAAGCTATTCTTTGAGCAATTTCATTCCAGCTTGTTACAAATGTATCCGTTCGGGAACCTCTAAGAGACTTAGTAAGAACATCTGCTAGCTAGTTGATAAGTTGCACAATTTGAGTGTTTTAAGGGTTGTTTTGATGTTAGTTTAGTTAACTCTCATTTGTTCCTTGTTTTGATGTTTGTTTTTGTTAAGTTTAGATATGAATTTTTACCTTTGATTTGGATAACTTTTGTGTTTTTTTTTTTAGGCTTTGATTGAGTAGATTGGAGTATTGGATGAAATTGGGACTTAAAGCTTGAAAAAGTTGAGATTACTTAACATTCTTGAAGGCCACGCCATGCCTTGGTAGTTCACCATGGCCATGGTGGTGGAACAAAGAGAAAACAAAGACCAAGAACAGCACGGCCTAGGCTGTGGTGACTTAAATTTGGCCACGACCAGGGTTTGGCGGAAACTATTAGGGCGTTTTTATCAGTTTTTCTTTCCTTTTTCACTTAGCTCTTTTGGGTATTTAGTAATTGAGATCAGTTGTCAAGGGACAAATTTTGCATATTTTTTAGAGGAGAATACGCATTCTTGAGGCTTGAAGACTGAATATCAGATTTAAGAGTTTGATTTATTTTTATTTCAAGTCTGAATATTTTTCCTTCTTCTCTATTTATTTCTTTGTTCTTAGGATGGAGTAAATCTCTTTTGTTAGGGGAGGATGAAACCCTAATTAGTTTTTTGAACAATTTTTATTCTTAATACTAGATTTAGTTTATGAATTTGTGCAAGAGTTTAGGTTTAATGCTTTATGAATGTTGGATTGATTCAATTACCTTAATGATGTTTCAAATAGAGAAGTTAAGGTTTATGCTTAATTCATAGTCATAATTGTTTTATGGAATAACATTGCACACATTTAACAAAAGTAATCAAATAGAGATTCTGGATTAATTGTGGTCCACCTAATTCATACCGAATAGGGCGATTAGTAGCAAAGGATTGATAATTTATGCTTCTATTTCAGGTAACTGAATAGGAATCTGTATTAAGTTGAATATTATTCCTAAATAATGATAATTGGCCTTAGAAGAATCCTACCAATTCATAGCACAAACGGGTATTAAAAGTAGTTGTCAAGCACAGTTAGGGGGAAATCTGTGCCCTACTTCATTAATACTGCAAAGTTCTTCACATTTGTTTATTTGTTTATTTAGTTATTTTAATCTTTTACTTTTACACTCTAGATTTCGTTTTCTCAAATAACATGAAGGTAGTTTTAAGCAATTACAAATATTCACTTTGATCTCTGTAGGACGATACTCAAACTCATCACTTTAATTTGACATGAGTCGTGCACTTGCTAAGGTTGATTTAGTCGCATCACTGGTCATTTGAGTTGACAAAACTGGTGACAATGCATCCGGATTCAATCTTCTATCAGATAAAATGACAATCAACCTCTATATGCTTTGTTCTTTTTTGAAAGACTGGATTTGAGGCAATATGCAGAGCAGCTTGATTTTCGCATATTAGTTTCATCTGCCACTTCACTACACCCAAATTCTTGAAGAAGTTGTTTCAACTAGAGAGACTCACAAGTCGCGAGAGCCATAGCCTGATATCTGCCTCTGCCCTTGATCTAGCTACTACATATTGCTTCTTACCCTTCCAAGATATTAGATTACCTTCAATCATGATATAGTATCTAGAAATGATCGTCTATCTATGTAGACCCTGCCCAATCAGCATCAGAATAGCCAACAATTTGAGAATGACCCTTATTTTCATATATCAAGCCTTGTCTTGGAGCTCCTTTAATATATTTGAGAATGTGAACTATTGCATCCCAATGACCACTACTGGGGCCTGGAGAAATTGGCTAACCACACTAATGCAAAAGAGATATCTGGTCTAATGATCGTGAGATAATCAGCTTACCAACCTTTGGATACCTTGCTGGTCTTCAATGGCTCCCCCTGTCCAGGAACAAGTTTGACATTGGATCCATAGGAGAATCTACGGCTTACAGTCTAACCATACTTGTCTCCTCAAGAATGTCAAGGCATCTTTCTTTGTGATATAGCACACCAGCCTTAGACTGTGCTACCTCAATCCCCAGAAAATCTTTAGCTTCCCCCAGTCCTTGGTTTAAAGTGGCTAAATAGATGCTGCTTTAGTTGAGAAATCCCATCTTGGTCATTACCTGTTGTGACAATGTCATCACATATACAACCAAGTATATAAATTTACCGATCATTACACGGAAAAATATTGAATGATCAGTTGTACTTCACGCATCCCAAACTGTTGAATCACAGAATTGAACCGTTCAAACCTGTTGTAGGTGACTGCTTGAGACCTATATAAACCGGCATGACAACACACCAATCCTGACTGCCCCTGAGTGATAACCCCTGGCGGTTGCTCCATATACATTTCCTCGGCAAGTTTCCAAGCAAGAAGGCATTTTTAATTCCAACTGATGAAGAGGCCATTGATACATGGCTGCTAAAAAATAAGAGGCATACCAAAGTAATCTTAGAAATAGGAGAGAAGGTATCACTATAGTCGAGCCCATAGATCTGAGTGTACCCCTTTGCAACAGGCGAGCCTTCGTTGATCAACTTTGCCATCAGGACCAATCTTAACAGTGTGAACCCAACAACACCCACAACAATCTTGCCTGTAGTAAGGAAACCAACTCCCAAGTACCATTTGATCGAGAGCAGTCATCTCCTCAATCATGGTATCTCTCACCCTGGATGTGCCATTTCCTCGCTAACAATGTTAAGTATAGGGATAGAAGACAAGTTTGACATAAAGGCATAAAAATGGAGATAAACTATCATAACTAAGAAAATATAAATAGGATGTAGGTTTCGAGAAGATCGAATAACTTTGCAAGGCGGTAGGAGTTGCCTTGTCTACAAAGACATGACCGGAGCAGGCGACAGAGGAATAGAGATGGTCATCAGGATTGACCGAGGTACCTATATCAAGAAGGGAAGTACCATTGGGATTAGTAGGAGGACAAGGCGACGAGATAAACTTGGAGAGGAGGACAATCCATCGACGAGGAAGGAGGGATGGGGATAGGTAAGGTGGCAGGATAAATTGCTATTGACGGTGTTTCCAGAAAAGTATGGAGATGTCTCAAAGAAAGTTACATCTACAGAAACAAATATTTGTTGGTGGTTGGGTCATAGCAACGGTAACCTTTCTAGAGACGAGAATATCCTAAGAAGATACACTTAAAGATTATTAGGCTGTAATTTGTCTTTGCCTGAGTGTGATCATAACAAAGCAAATGTAACCAAACACCCGTAAATGTATTAGGTACTTTACCAAGAATAGAATAGAGTGAGGACTCTTATGTTGCAAGACAGAAGAAGGCATACGGTTAATCATAATAGGCAGTGAGAACTTCATTCCCCCAAAATCAAAGAGGAACATGATGATAAATAAGGTAGGGTTGTTTCAATAAGATGCAGACTTTGCGTTCGGCGACCCCATTCTGCTGAGGAGTATAGGCACATGAGGTCTAGTGAATATACCCTGAAAAGACTATACGTAGTAAAGGGAGAAGATGATATTCCCTAGTATTATCACTACGCAAAATCTTAATAGAAACACCAAATTGATAACGACTCAGCACAAAAAATTGAAAGATAGAAAAAACTCGAACGAGTTTTCATTAAAAATACCCAGTATAACGAGAATAGTCATCTAAAAAGTAATAAAATAATAGAAACCCAAAGTTGAACTGACACGACTAGGACTTCAGATGTCTATGTGAACATATCAAACATTGAGATGGCCCTATTATTGACTCACTTGGGAAAAGAAGCTCTAGTTTTTTTTCCAAGTTGACATGAATCCAATTAAAAGAAGATAATGTAACAGACTGTACTAATTTATGAAATTGGCAAGACTTGGATGACCAAGGTGGCTATGAAGAATGTCGATAGATGCAGCGGAGGTGAAGGCAACTAACGGATTTGGATCGGAGAGTGGTACAGTCCTGTGATTCATGTCTTGTTCCAATCGTCTGACTTGTGTTCTGATCCTACACCACAATAGAGTCAGCAAAAAAGGTGACAATAGTTATGATATTTGGTTAACTTACTATATAAATCAATTATGGACT